GACACGACATTCGACGGATGTGTAGCTAAGAGACATAACTATTATTAAAATGAAGTTATAAATTTGAAAATCAAATAAGTGAAAATGTAAGATAATTATCTCCTTCCATTTCTTTATAAATATATCACATAGCTCACTTTTGAGAATTTAACATGACATCTCACAAATTAAATATGACATCTTTAATTTTAATTATTTCAGAATTATTTTTATTGAGATATAAATAATTCTCGGATAAAATTTCGGGTATAAGATTTAAAATTTCTGGTATATCTCTATGAAATTTTTTATTAATGTAATTTTTTATAGTATATTTGAAATTTCTGGTATTCTGAAAATTTTAAACTTACTAGACAGTACCAGAAATTTGAGTTATACTAAAATTTTCAGTAGTTCATTTATTCATGTTTTTTTAACGGTTGAGATTTTATCGACATCTTTGGAGAGTTCTGATTGAATCGACAAATTTGTGTGGTATAGAATACATCGCCATTTGTATAAATAGGGTCATATGCTATAGAGAAAAACATCTTAAAAAATATTTGTTCCTTAATTTTTGATTAAGGCATAAGTATATTACAACGGAAGCAACCTTGTTGTTAAATTCAAGCTTCCACATGGTAGCACATCCCTTGCCACCTTGAAAGAAACATTGAATGCATTGTTGTCTGATTTCGATAATAGAAGGGTGACAAAGATCGAGTTTCGGGACCATTATATTGATATAGATGGTTGGGTGAAATACAACCTGATTGAGTTGAAGACCGATGAAGATGTGAAAACGATGTGTAAAACATTTCGCCGTAGGATAACTAAAGTTTCGATCGAATTGGATGCGGAGATCCGAGATCTGTCGACGATATAATCAAGATGTTGAAACGTCTAGAATCATCCGGTAGTGCCTAGGTTTTCATGCTTAGTTGTTTTTAGTTTTTGTTTGTTGTATTGTTTTATGTTATTTTCATCATCGATTCGAAACATGTAATCGTCAAAATATTATACAATAAATAAGAAGTTTGTGTGTCACAAACTATACATATAATACAACCAAAATAAATCAGATCTACACAGGCCCTCCACAGGCAACGTTGGCAAACCTAGCTAAACGTGTATAACTCTCACCATCAGAGTTTATCAAACATATGAGGTTATCTAAATAAACTGCAATAAATTGTAGGCGACTGTCCTGATCATCTGTAGGTGGTGGTGGAGGCTCAGCAGAAACCCTAGCACGTAAAGGCCCCAAAACATCAGATGTTGCAGTCGGAGATATGATCCTAGAGTGTGATACACTCTGATACCATTCCAGGTATCCATCTTTGCACTGTAAAGGATGTTGAACCGTAGCTAATCAATCCCTGATCTCACAGGCAGAGCTGGTGATGTAACTCTTAAACCATATATCAATGCCACCAGTTGGAGCCTCAAGAATTGGACGAGTGATTCCCTGGATATAACCATATTATCGTAGACACCTCTCAGGCAAGTGTCTAGTCACATGGTTCTTCCACCTACGATGCCCTGAATTTAAAGAAGCGTCATAAAATGCACGATGATGCCAGTGAGATGTATATGGTGTCCACACGACATCCTCTATGGTCAGTGTCAAGCCTCCTATAGTACTCCATCAAATCTCCTGGAAGGGCTTGTTTTCCCTTCCATCTCATCGCATATGGTACAGTAGCCGGGACACGCTAGATCTCACTGATCACATATGTGGGGGAAGTACTCTTATATCCAGCACTGCATAAATAAAAACAATCAAATAAATAATAAAAACCATCAAATAAATTATAATATAAATGTAAAAGGCTAAGGTAACCAGTCAGTTGTCTGGTCTCAGGCTGAGTAGCAACTCCAAGTGTCGTGTACAACATGGTCAACGCCATAACTCCTCTATTAACGCCAAACTCTGCTAGAACCATCACATCAGACACCTCCAAATCATCCACAACCATGTGCACCGTCGTCGCATAATTAATATGAGGAGGTGTGAAGAATGTACCAGCGATCGGGATATGAAACAATGTGTTAACATCATCCAATATGATCGTCATCTCCCCAAATGAAAGATGAAAGGATGATGTCTCTAGGTGCTACCTCTCAACAAAAGAAAACAACGGGGAGGCGTCCAACATGGTCAAAGAGCACTGAGCGAACTCCAGCAGTTGAAAATCTCTAACAATACTACTGACCTCCTCAAGCATACCACCCTCTAGGAAGTTCTTCAACTTCGGACCATGGGAAGCGACCTTCAGCACCAGACGCTCCTGTAAGAAGTAAAAAAAAATTATACATCAAGTTTCAAAAACTTGAAAAATTAAAATATTATACATCAACCAAGTAAAATATATATCTCACCATGTCATATCCTGTAAGCAACATGGTCAGCAAATTCTGTGAGCACAGAACTGTCTGAAGGTCCTCTTGAAAATGCTCCATCAATGTGAATTAATGGCTCCGTAGGCGCACGAGTCGTGGTGTCTGTATCAGTGGAGGATACCTCATTAATACGCTCACCAACAACCTCCTGAACCTGCTCTACAACCTGCTTATTTGTCGGCTCCATAGTATGCTCGACAATTGGCTCCACAACCTGCTCATAAATCGGCTCTACAATAGGCACAACCTCTTCAATAGTCTACTCAAAAATCGGCTCAATCACAGGCACATCCACAGGAGCAGGAGTATGTACCTCATCGACAGTAGAAACTCTAAGTCCTCGACGGCGGGATACGCAGAACTGCGTCTGCTGCTCAGTCATCTATTTTTGGTGATAATTGGTCGGAGGACGTCGTCCAACCCGTAGCTCGGAAGTTTGTGCCTCGTCAGTCCGGGCCTGAGCTTTCGCTCAATCGGCCACCCTATCTGCAACAAAATCATTTTTGCCTTTAGTGCTCACTGAAACAATGAATAAAAGGAGGGGGAAATTAGGAAAATATGAATTATCAGAAATTTTAAAATTTTTGGTATTTTTCAAAAAAAATTGAACTATCAGAAATTTTGAAACTTTCGGTACATGTTGCAAAGCTATGGAAATTTCAAAATTTTCGGTACGAAAGGTAAATACTAACCCGAAAATTTCAAAATTTCCGGTACAAAATACCATAAATTACACAAATCTACCGTAAATTCCTTACTATTTCACGAAATTTCCGATATCACTTTAAAATTTCCAATATCACCTAATAAATTTTAAAATTCCAGTGTGGTACTAAAAATTTAAAAATTTTGAGAATTTTTTAGATTTAGACAATTTAATCTCTTCATAACTTTTGAGGGTGTCATGTGTGACATTGGGTGACATGTTAAATTCTCCTTACTTTTCCATTGAGTCTACCAAATGCAACACTCTAAAAAGAGAAAAGAACTCATTAAACACTGGATTTTTTTTCCTTTCAAAATCCCTTATATGTAATCTGATTTTCAATAAGAAAAATATTATTCTTACACCACGATCTATACATACATCGTATAATAATAAATATTTTTTTAAATTAATTTTTTTTATTATATTTTTTTAAATTAAAGAATTATGGATATAAAATTATGTGATTAATCAACTTCATGACTTCACTAATCAATATTTTAAATTTTATTAACCAACTTCACAACTATTAAAAATTTGGATATTTATTAATCAATTTTATAACTTTATTAACCAATATTTATATTGTATTAACCAACCTTGTTTTACTGTTAAAAATTATTTTTAATATCTGAGTATTTATTAACCAACTTAATTACTTCATTAATCAATTTTTTACATTTTATTAACCAACTTCATTTTACTACTAAAAATTATTTTTAATATCTTAGTGTTTATTAATAAACTTCATCACTTTATTAATCAACTTTTTATATTTTATTAATCAAATTTATTTACTATTAAAAGTTATTGTTCATGCACGGTTTACGGACATCATTTACGATCACGGTTCATGTATTGTTCCCAACACTTATTATTTATTAGAAAAATATTATTTACCGTATAAATACGGTAAATAGTGCATATGATGTAAATATTTAGCGTAAGAATAGCTATTTAGTGTAAGAATAGCATCGCTGTTTGAAGTAACATCCTATCATTGAACTTTGAAATAGTACTAGATTTTCATTCATGAGATGTGAGCATTCTTAATAATGCTCCCTTATTGTCATGTCAATCAAGCATCTCAAGGTCAAACAGTAAGTGGCAAAACGAGTGATAACAAGTATAATTAAGTCCTTCACCTCTAGCGAAATGATGCAATAAAGATATAAGGTTGATTCTTGAATATATATATATATAATCTGGAGTTATTTTATCAATATTGATTGTCTCTTTGTGGAAGGGTGTGTTTCTTTTTCATATGTTCTAGCATTGATCATGCATTGAGCATTGATCATGTATTTCTTTTTCATATGTTCTATTGTCCAGTATTTCCATCAATCACATGATTTAAAGACATCTTCATAGTTATAAAAATAGAAGAGGGTGAAAAACAAGGGAAACATAACGAAATGGGTATTTTTAGCTACACATCCATAGAATGTTTTATCTCTCTTAGCTACGCTCCAAATCCAAAAGGTATTTTTAGCAATTCCAAGAGGTTTGGATATACGGTATATCGGAGAGGCAAGAAGTTCACAAGTTAGACAGTGCATTGGTGGACAATGACGAATCTTAATTGCTAGATACAGGAAACATTGTTACCAATTAGATGTTGATTTCATTTCTTAGTTATACATAAGAAAGTAATACTAGCAAGTAAGATCAAGGCGTGCATAAATCACCGTAAGGAAAAGCAACTTAACAAAGTATTAAAACCCTGCAACATTATTCTTACAACCATTCACATTTTACTAAACAAAAAACACCCTAGACTTCCTCAAATTGTCTTTTTCTAAACTGTAGCAAACTTCCTCCATCATATCAAAACAACCACAAACAAAATCTATTTCATGAAAATAAAAAATAACAGAGATATCCATGAGTTATCATGCTTTCTAAGATCTATCTAATTTCTTCGGCACTCACCATGAGTAGTTGTCCACTGTTCTCCGCAAGCATAGCAAAACTCATATTTGCACCTACAAACAAACATGATCCCTAAATCAGTTATTCACTAGTTCAAGGATAAAAACAAATGGTGTATCTTTGATCAGAATAAACTAACCTGCATGTGATATGCAAACATCCCTCCTTTTTTTCAACATAGAATCTACACTTAGAACACCTCTTCCATTTCTTCTGATTCGCAAGCTCTCTAACAAGAAGATCTTCCCTCCCCCTTTCATCCACATTCAATGTCTGAAACTCCTCACAACTAACCCCAGGATGCCAAGAAACATGACACCTAGCACAAAACAACCTATGACAAAAAGGACATTCAGATTCCGTGATCTCTCCCCCCTCTTCATCCTCATCAAGCAACATCGCCGAACAATCCTTAAACGGACAATAGAATTTCGGAACCGTAAGCAAAAGAGCCTCAGTCATTGCATCATCCCATCTATCAATCAACTCTTTTGGAAGCAATGGCCTAAGGGTTTCAAGCTCCAACACACCCTTGCAGTTCAAACCGGGACAAGAAACAACCGTTATGTTTTCTTGGATTTTTGTTGCTACTTGTTTGACAACACAGTCGGAACAAAAGGAATGGTAACATCTTTTGTTTCTGAACATATCCTCGTCCGTTTTTGGTTCAGCGCAAATCTCGCAAATGATGATCGGAAAAGTCCGTTCATCTTCTTTGGTGACGAGAGTGTCGACTTCGACGGCCTTTGATGATGATGGTGCTACTCGGAGTAGTGGCGGTGATGTTGATGATGAAACATATTGGGAAGTGATGAGTGAGTCCTTAAGGGTTTCATTGAACAGTGACTCTTCATCGACGGTTCTTGACGAAGATGCTACGCACGGCAATGACAGTGGTGGTTGTGACGAAGCGATGACAGAGGACATCAGCGCTTCTTGAAACTGTAATGCTTCAGCGTACTTGTGATCGGAGACGGGGGCAGGGTCGGTTTCATCATCGGAGACGGGGGCAGGGTCGGTTTCATCATCGGAGACCACGGAGAAGTAAACATCGTCCACGGCGTCGAGACTGAGGGGTGAAAGTGATGATGACGGTTGCGCCATTGGTTTTTGGGGGAAAATGGCTCACTCGAGAAAGAAGGAGTTTGTTGCATGGAGCGAGAAAGGTTAGTGAATAAGGCGGTGGTTTGAATGGAAAGGTCGCAGAGAATAATAATAACTCCTTCTTAATTCAGTTTACGTTATGGCCGCTGTTCAATTTTCCAAATCATTTAATTAAGGGGAATTTTTATTTACCCAATTCAAAAAGTTAAATAAAATTACATTTAATGTAAAATGCATTGAAAACAATATATAATTATATTATTTAATAAATAATTAAGTAAATTAAAATGTGATTGATAGAAGGTACTATAATATCTAATTTTTTCTGATTAATAGAAAAGTTGTTCCCTTAAATTAAAGTTAATACAGTCAAAACAAAATGTGTGTAACAATGCGTTGGTTGTGCATTGATCAATTCAATTCAGTTAATTATTCATTGATTAATGGAATTATATTATGTATTTATTAGTTTAATTGAATTAATTATGTAATTAATTAAATGTTATTAAGATTTTATAAAAACATAAATATTGTAGTAGAAAAAATTGAGATTAAACTATTGATTAACTTAATTCGAAAAGACAAAAATCGTCACTGAATTTTATTGTTTCTAAAGAAAAGAAAAAAATCAAGAAAAACATTTCATCTGATGCTTTTGATTCTCTCTTTGGAAACAATGCAACCGGTTTAGATGTAATCAGTTACCTGAAACGATGTAATTGGTTACATCTGAAGCGGTGTTAAAAAAATTTCAAACAATACACACATGTAATCGATTACTTGAGATGATGTAACCGGTTACATCACACAAAAATTGCCACAAACAAGAATACAGTGGTTCTGCCAAGGTCATGTAACCGATTACCTGATTTGATGTAACCGGTTACACTCAACTAAAATGTGAAAGAAAAAAAACTTATGATAATGATTTAAAACTAGTGGCAATATGATTTTATGATGGAAATACATATGTATGAACATATATGTAATTTTTTTAGCACTTAAAATATATCAAGGCTTGAATTATAACTTGTATCAATTAAGTTTGAAGATCAATCAACCAAAGCTAATCTTCATGAAGTTGCAATCTTGATCCCTAGTTGTTGTACCCCAAAATTTACCCTCCCTTTTTCTTGAAGACATTCTCCTAGGATTCTCAAATGTTTAAGGTTGTTCAAGAATTGATCAGACAAATTCTTTTCCTAAACAATGGACTTACAACTAGGGTTTCATCTTTCTCAGGAAAGTTTGGGTTTCTAAGATCTCAAGTGGTTCCCATGGTTTATCATATGTCTCAAGAAATTCTCATGCCAAATTTCAAGCCTTGCATCACAAGTTTGCTCAGTCAATTGCTCAGATGACTGAAAATCAATTGTATTGAACAAAAAGTCAATTGTGGTCAACATACAGTCAAACTTCAAGATTTTTGGTCAACATCAATATTTTGAAGTCATATTCACCATTTGATCAAGGGTTGATCATGACTCATCAAGGAAGCCCTCAAATCATCAAAAGTCAAAAGTTGCCAAATTAGGGTTTTCCTTAGGAGAAGTCAACTGAACTTTGACCAAGCATAACTTTCACACGCTTCATCAGTTTCTCCCTAACCAAGGCTCATTTTGAAGGAAATTCAATTCTCTACCACTTTGTCTCTCTAAGCTCAACTCCAAAAAATTCTTCATTTGAGAGATATAGGCCAATACATTACAAGTCATTTCAAAAGTCAACAAAAAGACACTTTTGTCAAAACAACTTACATCAATATAATGTCTTCAAAAGCAAAAATGCTCAACATAGAGATTGTAGAGGACACCTTGGGCTTTCCAAAAAGTCAGAGATCGCCTTTAAAAGATGAAAATTGAGAGAGTTATAGCCAATACAAGTTGGAAAATTTTGAGCAAATGCATGAAGTTCAAATTGAGCAAACTTGGTTTTTTTGGCTAATGGGCTATTGTTTCAAAGTCTAAACGTGTATTGTACTTCTTATACACCTCATAACTCATTCATACACCCTTTAGGTATTTTATTTTATTTATTTTATATTTTTATTAATTTAAAGTCAAAATTAAATGAGATAAAATCATATCTTCTTACAAAGGTCCAAACTCACCCTTGGTCTGGCTTAATTCCTCTCTATATATGCTCTTCATTCAGACATCAATAGAGAGAACCATGACACGAAAAACCCTTGCCCCAAAACTTGTCAAAAATTTCACAAAATTTCAAAGAACCCTAAAAACTTCAAACCCTATTTATGGTGCCTTTCATCACAAATTAATCATCCTATTCATTTCCAGGAAGATTAGAGGGTAAGATGAGATCAATTGCAACGATCTAAAGGGCTCAAAACACCCTTGTATGCAACACCCCCTTATCATTGTTTCATGCATTCATAATTTTGTTTTCATATTATTTTGATTAAATCTAACATTACTAACGTGTTCCTGAGATTCATTAGTACAGGTTTGGATCACCGTGGAGGTCCCATGCAACCAGAATTGAGATTCACCATAGCTACACCTATCTACATTGTTTTCTCCGTAGCTCTTAAACCGAGTTGTTTTAGCCCAAAATAGTCATCCCATCAAACTCACAACCCTCAATTTTGGGGTGAAGGATGTTTTTGGATTACTAATTCTGTTTATTTTGCAGGTTTGATAAAAGAAGGCAACCAAAGAAGACGACCGGAGCTAGGGCTCTGGCGTCTCTCCGATTCAGGCATCATTCTTATATTATATATTAATTTTTTGATATAAGTTAATGGATGTATTGTAACACCCCAATTCTACCCCAATCAATTGTGCAAAATAAATCAGAGTTATAAAATTCAATCATGCAAACGAATCGGAACGTCACAAATTCTTCTATAAAATTTCATTGCATTCATCGTGGATATATAAAACTTTCAAAACATCGGATGAACCATCATAACATCTTTAATAAAATAATTCAACATCTACGCCGCAGAATTCTCAATAACATCTTTAAACAACAAAATAGCAACTTCGAAACATCTCATATTTAATAATAATCAATTTAAAATTCAACAACTGAAAATCAACGATCAAAAATCAGCAAACGTTCATCCCCCCGAGTGTTACATATCAGAGCAATGACACCGACTCGAACTACTGAAGGTATATAGCCTTCACTCTCGATCACCTGCACGTTACCAACATAAGGGCAACATCAAACAGAAGGGGTGAGATATCTAACAATATAATAAAATGCATGATAATTAATATATTAAATTAGATCAATAACATCACCACTTCTCATCTCATAATCAACAATAATTACAACGTATATACACATCCATCAACATCAAAATACACTTCTTTATGAAATCATATAATGCGACTCAACTCTATGCAAATGCATGTGGTACCATTGGAGCAGAACTTCCATCTCAAAAATTTGCCAATTAATAGAGGCATCAACAAGGCATAGTCTTCATCTCAAAATTTGCCAATCCAGGCCATCTCAACGAGCAAAAGCTCCATATCAAAAAATGCAATGTATGCGACACAACCATGAATGTAATACCAACACTCAAGTTAACAACATCTCAAATCATCTCAAATTAACATCTCAAAATACATCTCGAATTAACATCTCAAAAGCATCTCAAAATAAACACATCTCAAATGCATCTCAACGTCTCGTCATCAACATCTCATATCATCATAAAATTCATTAAACATCATTTATTCATTAACGTCATTTATTCATCATAAATTATCAAACACAACCTCATTAATAACATCTCACTAACAACTCAGCTGTAAATTAATACCACAGTAGTCCATACTGTTATTCTGCGATTTTACATCGTTACTATCACTAATCCTACTGTCATAACTCAAACAGCAGTCCCTAAACATCTCATATTCATCATTCTGTTCAAAACCCAGCACCACGATCAACACATGAATTAATTCTAAATCCTAAATTGGCTACTAGGATTACGCTTCTTATTCATCATTTTAATCATCTAGAATAAAGTTCATTGCGTTAGCTATCCAACGCTTCGAACGACATCTCAAACAGCATCCTAAAACTCAAGTTACAACACTTTAAAACCGAATCTGTCAAATATCAGACATCATGGGTCGATGCAAAACCCCTTGGATCGACGCGTACTGGTTCATCTGCACAACATGAGTCGACACATCCTCCTTATGGATCGACTCATCCTGGTCTCATAAACAACATTTATCGACACATGCTCCTATGAATCGACTCATCCTGAGTCTAAAAGCACTCATGTATCGACGCATCCTCTCTTCGTGTCGACTCATCCTGAGTCTCTCAATCTCCTTGTATCGACACATAGCATTTGAGGTCGATGCATCCTGTTACATCTTGTATAAATTCTACAATTTCCTCTGCATTTTCACTACGGGAATCATGTTTTAGCCCTACAAACCTTATTATAATCATGGTAAGTCATCACCTAACAATATCCTATAATACTACATCGATTAAACAACATCATGACATCGTTATTCATCTAAAATTCATCAAACCTTCATCATACATCATCATATACACCCAATTCAAGAACAAAACATCAATCACCTCTAACCCCATATATCAAACATCATGAACCCAATTATAGAGTCAGAACCCCACGCTTACCTTGGATTGAAGGTCACTCTACAATCTTCCGGTCGAATTCTCGTTCTTGTCGTTTTCCACTATTTCCAGCAGCTTCACGTTCTCTTCCAAATCCTTATTTCTTTCTACTGCTTCTTTCTTTCTATTCCTTCTAATAAATAATAAAATAACCCTATTATTCTATTATTCTTTATTGGGCTTAAAACCTACACCCCCTTATTACTTTTACTCTCTTAAAATAAGCCCACATTAAATAATAATATTATACTTCTAATATTATTTCACCACATAATATTATACTTCTAATATTATTTCTCCACTTAATAAAATAATTAAATCCAATTAATTACAACATATCTTCACAAATATTCCAAAAATAA